AGCCAGATTTATTATAGTAACTGTGATTATTAGCTAAAACAATTTTCGAACTGATTGTTATTTGTCATTAACATTTAATAAAACAATTCAGACTTATAATCAAATTACAACTAAGATATTAACGTTTTACTAGGAATCTACAATTAATAAAAACTTTTGTAGATTTCAGTTTAGTTAAATCAACTAATGTTAACAGTTGGAGCAACATACAACAGTCCTATTAACAGTCACATCATTTTCAATCAGTATTTCAGCATGTGGTAGGTCAGATTAACACGTGAAAGGTCACGTTAATGAATCAGGTCTCCTAGCATTTTGTGCTGTTATGAACGTCTCTGCAAATGCAATGTGAATATCCTTAAAAGCACTCTAAACACATGAATATCAACAGTCTACATATATGTCTATATTGATGACAACAGTATTAATAAGACACTGTTATATCATTATATAAAGGACTGCAGGATGCTTTTCTGAGGCTGTTTGTGTGTTTGATTTGCTCACTCACCGAAGAGCATGAAGAGGAGGACACATATCAGCGTGGCTACGATCACCAACACTGTCAAACCAACACTCTGCCACATCCTCCCCTTCGTTCCTATGAAGAAAAACAGCTTTGCATCTGTGTGTGCTCTATAAACTAAACGCATAATCCAAAACAATGCCAAAATAATTGTGTAACATATTATATTCTAATCCTGAGTGATACTATATAAACATTTAAAGGCAAATTATTAGCCCTCACATGAAATTTAAATACTTTTTCAAATATTTCCCACATGAGGTTTAACAGAGAAAGCAATTTTTCACAGTATTTGTTATTATATTTTTTCTTCTGTTGAAAGTTGCATGTCTTTTAGTTTGGCTGAATTAAAAGCAGTTTTATTGTTATTTTGTAAAGATGAATATTATTAGCAACCTTGCTAAATGTTTTTATTGGTTACAGAACAAACCACTGTTGTCCAATCACTCGCCTAATTAACCTATTAATTAACCTAGTAATGCCTTTATATTGCACTTTATGCTGAATACTAGTATCATGCAAAATAACTGGTAACCTTATGTACTGTCATCATGACAAAGGAAATATTAAAAACTATTACGTTTAAAATGCATTGAAAAAAATCTCTGTATCACTTGGGTAATATCTGAGAAAAAAACTAAATCACAGGAGGTATAATATTTTTGTACATAAATTAAGTGACCACTTAAAAATTCTCATTTTTGAAGAAAAAAAATGTTAAAATTGTAATTTATTATTGTCTTTTTTTTCCAGAAATTAACAATCAGGGATAAAATGCAAAATAACACTTTCTTAACTCTTCTGCATCACAACTTTGGTATTGTTTTTATCTAAAATTAACTGTAAACATGTCTGTAATAATGTTGTTTCATGCTCTAAATTACAAGTTTATATTGAATGAAAATGAAATGTCATTAGTAGTTTGTAGAATATTAAAAAAAAGGTTTTACTTAAACTATTGATAATCAATACTATACTTAACATTTCACTTACATTTAATGTTTACATTAAAAATGTATGTGTGAGCCATTTTCAGACAAGTCATGTTTAAAGAACTTTAATAAAATTTGTTGAATTCGATGTTGATAATATTCAAATGCGGAAAATTATGAAATACTGATCAACTGTGCATTATTTGTCAGTGTTATTAAATAAGATTTATTTGTAAGACTTTTCATTTAAGAATTTCTCAATTTTCTATTCAGCTTTTGACAGCTGAGTACAATTATTAAAAATAAAATCATAAACAATTTTATTTTCACATTTAATTCAAGCACTTTCAAAGCCCTATGTTTGTTTTTCTAGGCCTTGAATTCACTTTCATCAAGCCTGCAAACCTTGAATAAATGTCAATTCTAGTTCTTTTTCTGAAACATGGGACCCATTTAAATATATATTTTATCTGAATATGCGAGTACTTCTACAGACTGTCAATCTAAGCCTTAGGGTTTTTCAATTGCAGAGTGAATTTAATAAGGTATATTGTGTAAGTATCACAGGTATATGTTTTTAATATTAGTTTGTTCATGGGTTATTACAAAATGTGAATGATCCAATATTAATTTTATTTTTGTATGCATATATGTATGCATTTTATATAATTATATGTATTTTCCATTTTCTATTACAATTTTTGTGTGTGCAATTGTAATTTCCTTTTGTTTATGGGGAAGGGTTGGGATTAATTTTAGTAATTTGTTTACATTTTACTGTAAAACTGTTCAGCCATTTCTGTAAGTTTAATAAACAAATTAAAATAATACAATTTCAAAAGCAATATTATTTGCAAATTCTAAATTGGCAAATCATATTAGCAGCCAATGACTATTGAAGTACAACAATGTTCACAGTCAACATGTCATACATGCAATTTCTGACCGAATATTCAAAGTGTCGTGGTAAAAAATATAATATATAAATTGTCACTTAAACAAATGTGCTATTATAAACCAAACTTTGCCTCAATCGATAAGCGTCGTGCAGATGAAAGTGTTTGTGTTTATTATGATCAGATTTATGTTGAAACTTACTGTCGTTCACTCCTCACAGTCTTCAGGCCGATTCCCGCGGGGACGGAGGCCGGTAGCGCGTGTCATGAAGCGGCCGAGAAAACTCTCCTTATCTACATCATTGCGACATTTACAGAGAAAAGAGAATAACGAGAAAACAATGACAGAGAGATCCCGAGTCAACAACACACTCAATCTGAAGATGAGCCGGAAGTGCTCGCTGATACTTTTCCGCCGCGCGGTGTTCTGGGAATTGTAGTTTTGTAGCTTCATGTTCATCTGTTTGTGTTGACATTTTTTTTTAGAATATTATAACTTCACTCATCAATTTAAAATAATTGAAAAATAATACCATAAACATTAAACAGCTTTAGCCATGTTTGTTTAATTGGATTATGCTTATCTTTTCTAATTCGTTCAGGTTGGTCTGGTTTACTTTTCTCTTTAGTATGCAGATTGACTTACATTTTGTTTTAAGTTCTATATATACTGTAAATGTTTGTTGTATTGTTTTTATATAATGATTTTTTTATTATTGTCGTTTTTTATGTAAAGCCTACCAGGGACGAGGGGCCTGTTTCAGTAAGGAGGTTCAAACAACTCAGAGTTCAAACTTGATTTACCAAGAGATTAAAAACTCAGAGTTTTGGGTTTCAGAACAGCGGATCTAAGTTAGGTCAATCAACTTGAGTAGACCAGCTCAGAGTTAAGCGCGCACACCGTGACTATAAAAAGGCATTATCAATGGAGCGCAGATATTACGAGTGAGCATGGCAACATCTTAAAAAAAGAGATCAGCATTTCTTTCCCCAGCTGAACTTGATGTGATCATGCAACGTTATAGCAAATATGAGTGTATATATTTTTAAAAAGAAGCAACCATCAGTGAAACAAAGACAGTCAGCCTGGGAAAACAGCTGCTCAAGTTAATGCCTAATTTGACATTTAAAATATTTAAATATTTAAGTATAATAAATAAGTAATGTAATGTGTGATGTTTATACATTTTTTCTAAACTTTTATACACGTTTATCAGTTTTAATAGATTTAATAGTGCACTTGTGTGTGCCTTTTTCTTGATTAAGTGATAGAGGTTGATATAACATTTAGAAGGTAAGCAGTACTAAAAATTATTTTTAGAAAGAATAATAATCCCATTAATCTAGTTACAGTACATGTCTAAGGTCAATTAATTTAAGCTAATTATTTATTGTTCTGTGTGTGACTAAAAGGTAGGCAATATCTGTTTCCATCCAAATATATTAAATAAATTTATGTGCAAAACTGGAATATTGTATAAAAGATGCGAATAAGGCAGCGTTGCCATCCAACGAGTCAAAGAGAACAAAATCGTCACTTCCTGATTAACTGGCGCCAAATATCAACAGTAAAAACAGAATTTACTGTGATAGAAGAGCGTCAATTATTTATTTAATAGCCTAAATGTACTTGCGCCTCAGAAGACAATGAACACTTGGGGGCGTTTGAAGCCATGAGACGCAGAGACTCCCGATGCTCGGAGGTAGTCTAATTATATACACTAATACTAAAACAGTTAAGGCATTTTAGAATGACTAAAACAACATTTAAGACGTGGTACAGTGTGCTCAGCCTGCTGGTTTGTCCATTCATACACATTTTTATCATCATATGAAGACCTTTTTTTAATGTACTAGTGTAATTTGTTCAGTAAAAGTGTTTCCATCGTAGTTTATGCGCATATTTTCTATCGAATAAAAGTTTATCCTGCTCAATTTTGCGTGTTTTTATGCATATTTTCAAAAGTTAAGTGCATCATGATGTTTCCATCAATCGTTTTTATGCGCATATCCAAAATGAGCATTAAAATAGGTGTGTGGAGACGTAAGGCTAAGGCGAGAATTACCGCTTTGACTTTAAAAAAGGGGAGGAGACCGACAGAAACTCAGAGTTTAGAGAATAAAACGTGCTCCTGACCAGGTTAGATTCACAGAGTAAGTTACCACAGTAACTGACTCTAAGTTAAAGTTACCTCCCTTTTAGAAACAGGCTTGACTTACCCTGCTTTCCCGAGTTTAACAAACCTGCCATTTTGAAACGGAAAACCCAGAGTTTCTCTCATTTCAGGGTTAAAATACTCTGAGTTTTCACTTAACCTCCTTTCTAAAACAGGCCCGAGGACGTCAAATTAGCTTCATATATGCCCTATGTACACAACATTAGTTGTTTTTGTATAACGGTCAAGTGTATTGTCTTTGTTAAATAAGCAAATAAAAATAAAACAAGAACACATTAAAATGAAATATTCGAAATCTGCTTGTACATGACACGGCTAAATTTGTGAATGAGAGAATGAATGAATGAATTAATGGATTAAAAAATTAAGAAAATGAGATAAATGATCCTGTGGGTTAGCATACAGGAGACAGCATACAACCAAACACGGAGTAAAACTGCAATAAATAAAAAGAATAAAATGCATCACTCTATTTGTATGAATCAATGTGTGTTTATTTAGATTCTGTAATTACTCCAGTTTAAGCCATATTTTAATATTTACATGGTTTTCTCTGGTAGATGAGAAAGAAAATTACATTGCATGTGGATTTAAAATATGCAGCTAAATACAACAGACTGGAACAAAATATAAAAAATATTTTTTTTTAAACATTAATTATATAAATGAGTTTTTTTATCAAGTTTCACTAATGGTGAAAATTTATTTATTGTAATTGACAGGTGTGATGATCAGAGGAGCTGAGTTTTTACCGTCATCATTATCTTCTGGGCTGAAATATGGGTAGAGTTTATCAGTGAAAGTCTGACCAGTATAAGAGTAAATATGAGAGCTGGACTCCACATCATAAAAGGAGACCAAACCCTCCTCATAATCCACAAACACACCGACCCGCTGCGGCTTCACTTTCAGAGACAGAGAGACAGGAGAATCAGCACAGAATTTATATTCATTCCCATTCCTCAACCACACAGTCCAGTATCCATTACCGGGACTCAGTGTGATCTCTCCCTTCCTGTCTACAGATTCTCTGACCACTCCTAAAGTCCAGTCAGTCTTTTTCTTCACCTGCACCTCATAATAAAATCTCCCTGAGGAGAATCCCTCCTTTCCCAGGACATCTTCATATTTATCAAATCTCTGTGGTTTGTCTGGCAGTTCCTGCTCAATGTCTCCACATCTCACTTGTTTTCCATCATCAGACAGGATGAGATATGGATTAGCTGTATCAGGATCCAGAGTCACATCCACTGAGAAAACAGAATATAAATCACAGTTCCACAGTATAAAGTCTGCTATCTGTCAAAGTCAACTTCAGCACATTATGTGCCAATATTTAAACATGAATGAGTTTTGACAATATATGCATTAAATGTAGCAACAGTCAGATATACATACATGCAGTACTAAAGTGTCACACAAATATATAAATATGAATATATGAATAGTGCTATTAGTATTCTTATTTATTATCTAATGTGGTACTGCACATACATTTTGTAAAAATGAAATATTATTATAATAGCAACTAGGGATGTAACGGTATCAGAATTTCACGGTACAATAATACCTCGGTATGAATGTCACGGTAAGGTATTTATTGAATAATTTACAGGAAAAACAAAACTAATGAAAAGACTCGAAAAAAGTGCCAAAAGTGTTTATTTACCTTAGCACTGAACTGTCAGGGAACACAGGCGGACACAAGTGCAGGTTAAGAAAGTTTATTCTTGATCAAAAAATTACCCTAAAAGGGTGCAAATCAAATCCAACTGGGCGTTTGCAGAGAAAAATAAGAGAAAAACAAAAACAAAAAAACTGCATGAAAAAACTCCCAGAAGAGGGCGCTGTTAAGTCCTTGACAGAGACCGGGTCCTGTCACCAAATAAATCCAAAAGGGGGCGCCCAGTTCACAATCTTCAAAAAAGAGAAAGCAAAAGACAGCCGGGGTGATCCAAAAAATAAATGCAAACAATAGCGTCTATAATACTGTTACCCGGCAGGGGGCGTGCTAGTACGTTGCCGTGAGGGGAATGCGGAAGTGGAGCGTGAGCGAGGGAGAGGAAGCCGGCAGTCAGTTGAAGCCGATGGGCTCCGAGAGGTTAAAGCAGTCCGGCCTGGGAACAGAGGAGGTTAAGGAGAGGCAAAGTGCAAGAAGATAGTTCTGGCGTGGAGCAGCACAACGAGACAGAGTAGGAAAGGATAGGAGAGCCACGACAGGAGACAAGACGAGACGAGACCAGACGCGAGCGGCTCGGCGTGGGCGCGCTCGCAAAACAACAATCTAGCACTGGACTACACACAAGGAGGGGAATAAATAGGACACGAGAGGAATCACTGATAGGGTGCAGGTGAGTGAAAATCAATCTTAATAGATGGTAAATAGGGTAACGAGAGGGAGGTGAGATACGGGGAGCGATCAAAATAAACATTCACGTGCGCTCACCAGAAGTAAACAGAAATGGGGAACAGACAGCATGATCAGACTGAGGATGTGACAGTACCCCCCCCCCTCTACGAACGCCACCAGGCGCTGCATGAGGGGGCCTACCTTGCCGTTGACGGAAATCCTCAACCAGCGCCGGATCCAGAACGTCCCGAGCCGGGATCCAGCTCCTCTCCTCCGGACCATAACCCTCCCAGTCCACTAAATATTGAAAGCCCCGGCCTCTGCGTCTGATGTCTAGTAATTTCCGCACAGTGTAAACTGGGGAGCCATCCACTAGACGGGGGGGGGGGGAGGGGGAATGGGGGCAGAGGGAACAAGACGTGAATACAATACAGGTTTAACCCTTGACACATGAAAGGTAGGGTGCACCCGACCAAGCATAGGAGGGAGCTTGAGCCGTATCGCCACCGGACTCAGGACCTTGGTGATCCGGTATGGGCCAATGAACCTGGGAGCCAACTTGCGTGAGGCTACCCTGAGAGGCAGGTCCTTGGTAAAAAGCCACACTCTTTGACCACATCTGTAACGAGGAGCGGGAGACCGGTGGTGATCAGCTGCTGCTTTGGTCCGTTTATTAGCCTGGGCCAAGGCCTCCCTGGCTCTCTTCCAGGTGCGTCGACACCGCTGGACGAAAGCAAGGGCAGACGGAACTGCAGCTTCGGGTTCCTGAGTGGGAAACAAAGGAGGTTGGAACCCCATAGAGCATTGAAACGGGGACATACCTGTGGCAGATGAAGGAAGAGAATTATGGGCATACTCGACCCAAGGTAATTGTTGACACCAAGAGCCAGGATTGTGGGACGTCAGGCAGCGGAGAGTACGTTCCAAATCCTGGTTTGCCCGCTCGGACTGCCCATTGGTCTGGGGATGAAATCCTGAAAACAGATTCGTAGAGGCCCCGATCTGTCGACAGAATTCCTTCCAAAACCGGGAGACAAACTGAGGGCCCCTATCAGAAACCACATTGACCGGAAGACCATGAATCCGGAAAACATGATCAATCACCACTTGAGCAGTCTCCTTGGCTGAGGGGAGTTTGGGAAGGGGAATGAAATGGGCCGCTTTGGAGAAGCGGTCCACCACCGTGAGAATGACGGTGTTGCCTTTAGATTCTGGTAGGCCGGTGACAAAATCAAGGGCCAAGTGTGACCAGGGGCGGGATGGGATGGGAAGGGGGCGGAGCAGACCAATGGGAGGCGCATTGGAATTCTTGTTCCGAGCGCAAACAGAGCAGGCGGCCACGAACTGCCTGACGTCCTTGGCCATGGATGGCCACCAGAATCGCTGACGGATGGCAGCCAGTGATCTCCTGACTCCTAGGTGACAGGTCAACTTAGAGGAGTGACCCCACTGGATTACTTCAGAGCGCATCTTGGTAGGGACAAAGAGACATCCCGCTGGGACCCTCCCCGGTCCTGGACTTGTCCTCCTGGCTTCCTCAACCCGTTTTTCAATTTCCCAAGAGAGAGATGCCACCACCATCTCCTTGGGTAAAATGGTGTCGGGTGGTTCCCTCTCCCCTGGGGCCTCAAACAGACGGGAGAGAGCATCTGGCTTAATATTTTTGGACCCAGGTCTGTAAGACAAGGTAAAATTAAATCGCCCAAAGAAGAGGGCCCAGCGAGCCTGTCGGGAGCTCAGCCTCCTGGCTGAACGGATATATTCAAGGTTTTTGTGATCCGTCCAGACCAGGAAAGGCTGAGCTGCACCTTCTAACCAGTGACGCCACTCCCCCAGGGCCAACCTGACTGCCAACAATTCCCTATTACCTATGTCGTAATTTCGCTCTGAAGGATTCAGGCGATGGGAAAAGAATGCACAAGGGTGCACTTTTCCATCCAGGCGTGACCGCTGAGATAAGACTGCGCCTACTCCGACGTCCGAAGCATCCACCTCAACAATAAATTGCCGTTCAGGATCTGGAATAGATAGAACAGGAGCAGAGACAAAACGGGACTTTAATTTATCAAAGGCCTCCTGAACATCAACTTCCCATTTGAACGGTACCTTGGGAGAGGTGAGTGCTGTTAAGGGTGCAGCGATCTGACCAAAATTCCTGATAAAGCGCCGATAAAAGTTGGCGAACCCCAGGAATCGCTGCAGAGCCTTACGAGAGTCTGGAGTTGGCCACTCGGCGACTGCCTTTACCTTACAGGGGTCTGCCTGGATCTCTCCAGCCGAAATAATGAATCCCAAGAACGAGACCGACTGGACGTGGAAAACGCACTTCTCCGCCTTAACATAAAGCTGATTCTCCAGCAACCGTTGTAGCACTTGGCGGACATGTTGGGTGTGTACCTGTAAAGACGGAGAGAATATCAAGATATCATCAAGGTACACAAAGACAAAACGATTAACCATGTCTCTCAACACATCATTGACCAAGGCCTGGAAGACAGCCGGGGCATTGGTCAGACCGAATGGTAAGACCTGGTACTCGAAGTGTCCCGTAGGCGTGTTAAAGGCGGTCTTCCACTCATCCCCCTCTCGTATGCGGATAAGATGGTAAGCATTCCGGAGGTCAAGTTTGGTAAAGACCTTGGCTCCCTGCAAAAGTTCAAAGGCAGAAGACATGAGAGGTAAGGGGTACCTGTTTTTAATAGTGATGTCATTGAGCCCTCGATAATCAATACAAGGACGCAGGGAGCCATCTTTCTTTTTGACAAAGAAGAACCCGGCACCCGCGGGGGAGGAAGAGGGTCGGATGAGACCGGCTTTGAGTGATTCATTGATATACCTATCCATGGCCTCTCTCTCTGGACCAGAAAGGGAAAATAAACGACCCTTGGGCGGAGAAGTGCCTGGGAGGAGTTCTATGGCACAATCGTAAGGACGATGCGGAGGCAGGGAAGTGGCCCGAGACTTGCTGAACACCCAGCGCAGGTCAAGGTACTCCGCCGGTACCCCAGAGAGATCAAACTGCCTCCACTTGTAAGACAGGACACACAGACACAGGAAAAGCAGCAGGACCCAAACACGAAGCAAGACAATGCTGACTCCAAGACAAAACTGAATTACTCGACCAATCTACATGAGGGCCATGCTGCACCAGCCATGGATGCCCCAAAACTATGGGGGCACTAGGCGAATCTAGGAGAAGCAGCGTGGTAACCTCATGGTGATTGCCCGAGACAATGAGATGGAGGGGAGGGGTGGTATGGGATACAGTGGTGATAAGGGTGCCATTAAGAGAGCGAGCAGGGATAGGATTGGAAAGAGGGAGTGCAGGGATTCCCCACAAGGTAGCTAAAGAACTATCCATAAAATTACCTTCGGCCCCGGAATCGACCAAGGCCAAAGCAGAATTAAAAGAGTCACCAAACTGGACAGATACAGGGAGAATAGTACGAGAGGAGGGGGAATTCAATAATGGGGTAGCGCTCACCAGGATCCCCCTCTTTACTGGCGAGCCGCGGCTTTTAACGGACAGGCCACTGCAAAG